GTTAAATCTTCTTCTCCCACCTCTATGCCATTCTCTCACCATTCACCCTTTTACACACACTCATGAATTAGGGGGGTGTGCACGCGTGCCACTAACTAGTTTGGCTAAAGGAAAAAAACAGTGCAATAATGTTTGCTAACAGCATCTAACAACAGAACAATAGAAACCTAATACTTTTATTAATACGCATTTTAAAGATACTGTTCCAAATCCATTATATTTGTTATCTTCCAACCACAAGAGACAGTAATTATTTTCATTGGTCACCATCCTTACAGAGCAGAGAAGCAAACTTCTTTTCAAAATGAGTCAATCCATATTTACATTGCAACATGCAAAGGGAAGATACTATATGTTCCTACAAATCAGGTAACAATAGATAGCTGAGCAACAGAATGTCCCCTCAACAATATAATTGTACAGCCTTTTTCTGTGGTGGAAGTTCTCAGTGCATGGATTATAAAACAGCATACAATTCAAAGACAGAAACAAAGGATTTTGCAAATTGATTATATTTCCAACTATTAAATCTTTTGGACAGCAGTGTCTAGCGCCGAAACCACAGCCAGCTATTGAGTAGCCAGAAAGCTACAGTAATTGAGTACATGATCATTTCTCTTTTAGCACGCTCTTTGTTTTCTTCTTCCAGAAGTTGTAGGCGACGATTGAGTTTGATTATCTAAAAAAATATAAAATAAATAGAAGTCTTTAAAGTGCCAGGACCTCCAAAGGACATTTTTGAAAGCATACATACACCCAGCATTCTAAGGCTGAACTGTACAATGTCACTATTTAGACTCTCTGTCCTTCACTGGCTAAGGGCCAAATTTGTAAGAAGTAATGGAATTGTGTTACACTGCCAACTCAGTAAAGACCAGAGGATTTAGCCAGTGAGTCTTATGAGGCTTTCCATTTACTTCATCTTCAAAAGACCCCCAATCCCAATCAATACTCAGGTAACAGTTGCATCTGCTCTGAAATTACCAGTTAATCTGAATCATGGTGACACCAATGTAGTCCTATATAAACGCATGCTCAAAAGATAGGCCTCCTGCCCAAGACTTCACACTCAAGCTAGCAAGTGAGTAGGGCAAATAGAAATGGAGGCAAAGAGAGTAAACTGAAGAATGCAGAGCGGGTCAATGGTAAGGGTAGGAAAAGAAGCTAGGTCTCTACTACCAGTCTGAAGCCCTATTTACTGCATCACACTAATGAGAAGAAAGCTAAGGAAATGAACAAGCAAGCTGGGGAGAGGGAGATGAAAGTTTAAATAGTTAAGGCATACAATGCATCAAGTGATGCAAAGACAATTTTTCAAACCACTTAATCATAAGAAAAAAAGGCTTGAAAGAAAGTATTATGAAAAGCAATTTTATGTTGTTAGTTGAATGTAGTAAAGAAGACTTTTCTGCCTCTAAATTTTACATGAATTTTGGTCTCTTTAAGGCAGTGGTTCCCAACCTTTTTTTGCCATGACCTGCTGCTGGGAGCAGAGTGTGGAGGCAATGGCAGCATGAGGGCATGGGAGCTGTGCGTGGTGCCACTGGCATTGCCCCCTCAACCCTCATTTGGGTCATGACCTGAGGTTGGGAACCGCTGCTTTAAGGTATAGTTGTACCTTTCCAAGTCTTAAATTTTCCAGGTGAGAAAATACAACAATACCCACACTTTATCAGATGAACTAGAGTGTAATTTATAGATTTATTACATTGGTGTAATTTATAGATTTGTCAGAAACTTGCAGAAATTCATGGCACTTTCTTTACCTGGCAAGTAGTCATGCAATATTTAGCTCTTCTTTTTTTCTTTTTTTTTTTACTCAAATCAGTCAATACTCCAACAGTCTTTTACCACATTTATTACTATTCTCTGAGCTCTTTTATTTACCAACATCTTTTTGAGTATTCCAAGAAGCCAAGCCACTGGTGCACTATGGTACAGTAAAGATCAGTCACTCTTCAAGATAGCTGAAAGACATCTTATCTTTTTCTTTATCTCATGGGCCAATGTACTTTCAATACCTGTCTTCTTAAAGAAGCAGCATCCACAACTGTCATGTCATCTGGCGTTCCCTCAGTTGTCACGTCCAAGTTTGAAAGACCAGATCTATTAGACAAGAAAGAAAAAAGATTAGATTATGTTCTCTGTCAGTGGGGATCAACCACTAATTTGGCAGGCAAACCTCTGCACCCTCCTCAAGTGCCCTTCATCTGCCTGATATGCTTCTGACTTCTACTCCCAGCCCTAAGCTCCCTGCTTGATCTGCTGTTCTGCTTTCTTCTCCCTTTCCTATGCTCCCTGCCCAATTTGCTGCTTTGCTTTCTGCTTCCCGCCTTATCTGCTGCTGTGCTGCCTGTCCCCTCCTGATTTGCCACGTGCTATGGAGGCTTCCCATGCCACAAGGCTGGCCACCCCTGCTGTACATGCTGGGTGAAGAGCAACCAAAACAGTATTCACTGTTTGCTTTACAACTGTCCCAGCTTGTATAAATACACACAATGCATTCAAGGCTTTTACAGGCTTTCCTCAATTTATGCGGGTTCTGTATATGCAAATTTACTCTTATGCAACAAGCATTTTTAGACCCATAATTCATTATAAGCAAGGTAAATTCACTTATGCAATTAGCATAGGGGCCCAAGCAGGGAAGTCTGTCGGGGGAGAGGAAAGGGCCATGGGGCTGGGACCCCACTCACCCCAGCCCCTGCTGCAGCAGCCCTGGGAGCAGCCAGCATCAGCTGCCTGCAGCCACTGAGTTACACCATTCTCTGCCTGTCCCCCCAACCTGGGCTCCACCTGTCCCCACTCACCCCAGCTCCTGGACTGCGCCATGCCATGGTGCAGGCACCTAGTGTCAGCTGCTCCCAGGGCCACTGCTGCAGGGGCTGGGGTGAGTGCAGACACGTGGAGCCTCAGGTGGCACAGGGCGCAGTGCAGCATGTCCTTACTCACCCCAGCCCTTGCTGCAGCAGCCCCAGAAGCAGCCAGTGCCAGCTGCAGAAAGAAGTCAGTGAGTGTGGGATGGGGGTGGGGGGTGCACCTCTAGCTGCTCTATGCCCCTCGGAAGGGCTGCAGGGCTGTGCTGGGCTCTTCCCGGGGGGGCACGTGCCCCTGGGACAACGGCAGGCTGACACTGCAGGCTCAGGCTGGTGGCAGCTCCGGGCTCTTCCCGGTGCTCAGGGTAGGCCGCACTAAAAGCCAGGAACAGCCCGGTGCCAACACCAGCTCCAGCCTGCAGCGGCAGCCTGCTGTTGTCCCACATGCAGATCTGGGGCACGGGCCTCTTGAGAAGAACCCAGCACAGCCCCCAGCCTGCAACCCTCCCGGGGGTACAAAGCAGAAAGAGGGACCCCCCCACCGCACCCACTGACAGCTCCCTCCGGAGCTGGTGCCAGCCACTCCTGGGGCTGGGGTGAGCGTGGACAAGCTGCGTCACATTCTGTGCCCCCTGGGGTTCCTTTCACTTGTTCCCACTCACCTCAGCCCCTGCTACAGCAAGAGTAGCATCCCACTCCACCCCACATCCACTGACATTTCCTTCTGCTCTGCTCCCTTGTGTAGCCTCGGGAATTGCACCCCTCCCCTAACCCTTCTCTAGTCCCAGCCTCACTCCCTCCCCGCCATGGGAACCTATCCTTATTTGTTACATTATAAAGTGGGTTCACTTTATGTGAATTCAATTTATACACCGTTCTCTGGGAACACATTCATCACATAAATTGAGGGAAACCTGTATTCAGTAAAGCAGCAAGGTATGTACTTAAATCTTATTGACTCCAGTG